AGTAATTTTAAAATGAAAAATTGAAACTTTTGAGTTTATTCTAGGAAATAAAGATTGTTTTTCAATAAATGGAGAAATTAACGATTGTATAAACATGAAAAATTGTTCTTCAGCTCAAATTTTTTTAGAAAACTCCAAGTCAATTGATAATTATATTTGTGGATATGAAGGAATCAGCCCTAAAGTTTGTTGTGCAGTGAGTAATTTAAATAAAAGAAGTTTTTATTTAACTAGTGAAGAAGATTATGAAGATGATTCTTCTACCAGAGAAACTTCGAGTTCTAGAATAACATCTACAACAGAATCTTTGCCAAGTACATTATCATCAAAATTGCCTCTTCAAAGTGTTTGTGGTAAAACAAACGCTGTTCGTGATAGAATAATTGGAGGAGAGTCTCCTAAGCTTGGTTAGAAAAATCATTATATGACACCAAGTTTTAAATAATTTTAATTATTATAATATGTGTTTACTAATTTTAATTATTAGCTGATTGGCCTTGGATAGCTGCATTAGGCTATCGTAATACGTATGAACCAAATAATCCAATACAATGGAAATGCGGTGGCACTTTAATAGCAGATAGTTATGTACTTACAACTGGATATTGCACATTGGGAAACAATCAAGCAAAACTGTACGTTTTATAAAACAATTTTATCGTACTAATTAATATTTATTTTATCAAAAGCATAATGACTAATATTTTTTTAGATCAATTGTTCGTTTGGGTGAATTAAATCTGGATCCTAAAATTCAAGATAACGCTTCACCACAAGATTATATAATAGCTAAAATTATAGTACATGAACAATATAACAGTCAAAAATTTTTGAATGATATTTCCTTGCTCAAATTGAAAAACCCGGTTCGTTTTAACCGTAAGAAAATGATAAAAATAAATATATTTAATTCATTGTACTATAATTCTTTTTGCAGACTATATTCAACCAATTTGTCTGCCTTGGACACAAAAATTACGTATGAAATCATTTGTAAAATTTGTACCTACTATTGCCGGTTGGGGATCACAAAGTCCAAGTAAATATTCCTTAAAAATTTC